TGCCGCCCTTGCGGCCGCCCTTGCCTCCCTTGCGGCCGCCCTTGCCGCCGCCCTTGCCGCCGCTCTTGTCCCCCTTGCTGCCCGAGCCCTCGCCGCCCCCCTTGCCGCCCTTGCCGCGGCCCTTGTTGCCCTTGCCGCGGCCCTTGGCCTGCCTCCGGGCCTCCGCCGCCTCCTTCTCCTCAGGAGTCTTCTCGACCCAGAGCAGCACCTTCGCCGGCGGGCCCTGGCCCGCCGGCAAAGGAGGTGGCTGCACCCCGCGTGCCGCAAGGCCAGACGCCCTCCGAAGAGGAGCGTCGAAGCGCTGCGCGCTCCTCTCGACCGCCAAGGATCGAGTCGATCGAGAAGCGCAGCACAAGGTAGAAGGTGCCCGGAACGGGCACCTTGCTCCCCTGCTCGGTGCGCACCTGCTGGTACACACCGCGGAGCGTCCCGGGCTCGCTGAGGCCTTCCAAGAGCTTCCGGAGGGCAGACACGTTCGCCGTGTCTCCCTGGAGGGGCCAATCTTCCTCGAGCTTGGCCGCAAGGTCCCTGACCAAAGTCTCCGGCGCAGCCTCACGCAGCGCACGGAACTGGTTCGCAGGCACATGCTGCTCGCACAGCGCCTGGAGACCGTGGCACCCTTCGCACACCAGGTGGCAGCTCTTGGTGACCTCGTTCACCTTCCTCTTGAGGCCGCGCACAACCCTTTCAAGAAAGTCCTGGCGCTCCTCCAGCGCTCCGAACCGGGCCTCCTGCTCGGCACGGCGCTTTGCCAACGCCATTACCACACCGGTAAGAGGGTCAGGCGGGCGCGCGGGCGGGGGTGCGGGGCGAGTCGCGGGCTGAATCGGCGCGCGCGCGGCGCGGAGGTGGAGGGAGGGAGGTGCAAGGACACATGAAGCATGCCAACAAGAGAGACAATAGCACAAGACAATGGAATCAAAATACCTGTCCTCCCGTCCCACTCCCGCCCCGTCTCGCGTCGACCGCTCGCAACATTACTGCCGCACCCGTCATGCAGTGAGGACGTCTCAAATATGACAATGGCGCGATGATATGAAGGCAAGAAAGATCAACAAAGGGGGAGTGGGGTGATGTAAAGAACTGCCGGGTATCCAGTATTTTTAATTACCACCAAAGTCCCCCTCTGGGCGACTGGGGGACGGGGAGGAGGCTTAAGGGGGTGCCGAGGACCAGAAAGTCAACGGCGGCGCTAGCAAAGACTGGAAAGTCGTGTTTGTTGAGCCTCCTCCCCGGCACGGCGTAGAAACACCGCGCCATTCGCTGAGGACTTGGACACGAAGGTCCCCTGTCCTTTGGCCCAGTAGAAAACTGCACAAACCCCTCCCCCGGCAGCTCATGTAGAAAAACTCACCTTGAAAAAAAAAAGGTCTGAGCTGGGCATGCGTGGCTTAGGCTCGCATCTTTGCTTTTGCCTTAGCACAGAGACCTCTACGAATCCCCTTCCTCTCCTGCCCTCCCCGCGCAACAACGCGCGCGCCTCCCTCCCTCCAAATCTTCGTAAATATCCCACTCAACAAGATTCCTACCTCCCCCCTAATGACCAACGTCCACATCCGTCCTTCATGCGTGTATTCCCTCACACCATTGCAATCAAACGAGAGATCTGTAAGCAAAGCGAAGTCCCAATTGCGACGAGAGCATAGTGTCAAAATGCAATCGACCTTCACGACTGCATCTCCCACGCCGGCTGTGGCGCCCATCTTGCGTGCATTCCAAGTACCACCCGTTATATTATACACATATGTTCTCTTCTTACTAAAACGCTTGATCATGGATAGACGATGCAGGGCCAAACCTCGTTTACGTTTACGCTTGAGAATAGATCGGGCCCTCCTAGTACTCCGTCTCCGCTCGTATCTTGGCTGACGATCTCTCTTGGAGGGAAGGGTAGCTGGCTGTAGGCCCTGTGACCCAGAACACCAGAAGTGGCTAATAGCACGTGTGCCCGCAACCGGTGCGTGGGGGCCAGTTACGTCACCGGAAATACCCCCTAGATCGGTTAGCGGGGAAAGGTCCGAGGACCCAACCGCCCCGCCCACCTGTTGATCAGAGGGGGGTTGTGGATTCCCGCCCCCGGGCAAGTCCCTGAACGCCGGGGAAGTACCCGCCAAACGCACACCGAACGCAAGACCCGAACGCCCGGATATTCCCTCCGAAGAAAACGCAGAGGGAGCGCTCTCAATGAAGCGTGGGTTAGCCGAATCCATGGGTTCCGCACTCCACAAGCAACACAAAAACATGAACACGAGAATCAACCGGGAACATGAAGCACGATAAGATGAAGCATAATCATCGATCAACGCATTAATGTGACTACTCCTCCTCCTCCTCCTCCTCCGCCACCTCCTCCGCCACCTCCTCCACCTCCTCCTTGTTTTCCTCTTCCTCCTCGTCGTCGTCCTCCTCCTCCTCATCCTCCTCCTCCTCCTCCTCCTCCTCCACCTCCTCCTCCTCCTCCTCCTCCGCCTCGCCTCCTCCTCCTCCTCCTCCAACTGTTCCTCCTCCTCCTTCCCCTCCCCCTCCCCCTCCCCTCCTCCTCCTCCTCCTCCTCCTCCTCTCCTCCTCCTCCTCCTCTCCTCTCCTCCTCCTCCTCCTCCTCCTCCTCCTCCTCCTCATTTCCTCCTCCTCCTCCTCCTCCTCCTCCTCCTCCTCCTCCTCCTCCTCTTCCTCCTTTTCCTTTTCCTCCTTCTCCTCATCCTCCTCCTCCTCCTCCTCCTCCTCCTCCTCCTCCTCCCCCTCCTTCTCCTCCTCCGAGCGGCGAACGCGTCTGTCCGCGAGCTCGAACACTCTGGTCGGGAGCGGGCGCAACCCCCTGGCTCCAGTAGCAGCGCACCGCCCAGGGGCGACTGGTCCTGAAGCCGAGTAGGGGCGCCCGCCGGGGCCTATGAAGTCCAATGCACGGGACCGTTGCAGAGAACGCAATGACGGCGTGGAGCGCCGCGTCCTGCGGCCCCACCGCCAGGCGCCTTCCAGTCTCCAGCGCGCCGCCTCGGCGCAGACGCCGTCCGCGGCCCCACCTGGCGCGCGCCCAGCCCCCTGGCGTTCGCCTGCCCGGCAGCGCCGCGCCACCCGCGCCGCCAGCCTCGCTGCCCGCGGCCGCCGCCCGCGGCCGCCGCGCGGCACCCGTCTGCGCCCTCGCCAGCCCCGCGCCTGGGGCCCGCCCTCGACAGCGGCGGCGCCCCGGGGCCTCCCTGCCCCAGCGGTCCAGCGCGGCCCCCGCCCGCGGCCCTGCCCCAGTGGCTGGCGCTTGGCGGCGGCGCGCGCGGCCTTAGTCTGGGGCCGCGCCCGGCTGCGGCGCTCTGGACCCTCGGGGCGGCGGCGCGGCGGGCCCCGTGCTGCGCCGGCGCGAGCGCGGCGACGGCTCGCCACGGCCGCACCTGCGTGGCCGAGAGGACACCGTCCGCGGCGTGCCGCTGTAGCGCGCTCCCCAGGCCCTGGTAAAGCTGCCGGATGGCAGCGGAACGCGCCGCGCTCCCCGCGGGAGCGAGCTGCCGCGCGTGGGTGGCCGCTTCCTCGCCGAATCTCCCGTGGTTTTCAACGACGAGCGGGATCACCGGCACGCCCGGGTAGCGAGCTCGCTTCCGGCGCTCTGCGGCGGCGGCGCTCCTCCTCCTCCTCCTCCTCCTGCTCCTGCTCCTCCGCCTCCTCCTCCTCCTCCTCCTCCTCTTCCTCCTCCTCCTCCTCTTCCTCCTCCTCCTCCTCCTCCTCCTCCTCCTCCTCCTCCTCCTCCTCCTCCTTTTCCTCCTCCTCCTCCTTTTCCTCCTCCTCCTCTTCCATGCTTCCCCCCCCCCCCCGCGTCCTGGCTCCACTCGCACCGACAGCCCGGGCAGCCTGGCAAGCCTGGCCCCGCTCTGGCCCCCGGCGCTGCGTAGGGCGGCAATCGAGAAGGAGGCTCCCCTCCTCGTCCGCCTCCACTGCCTTCTCCCCGCCCTTCCCCTCCCTCCCCCTTTTTACTCGTCCCCCTCCTCCTCCTCCTCCTCCTCCTCCTCCTCCTCCTCCCCTCCTCCTCCTCCTCCTCCTCCTCCTCCTCCTCCTCCTCCCCCTCCCCCTCCCCTCCTCCTCCTCCTCCTCCCTCCTCCTCCTCCTCCTCCTCCTCCTCCTCCCTCCTCCTCCTCCTCCTCCCTCCTCGCCTCCTCCTCCTCCTCCTCCCCCTCCACTTTCTCTTCCTCCACACTCCCATTCCTCCTGCGTCTTCCTCCTCCCCCTTTTCCTCCTCCTCCCTTTTCCTCCTCCTCCTCCTCCTCCTCCTCCTCCTCCTCCTCCTCCTCCTCCTCCGCCTACGTCCCCTCCTCCTCCTCCTCATCCTCCCGATGGTCCTCATGTCCCTGTTCCTCTTCCGTTTTTCTTCCACAGAACTCATCCTTGTCGCACCCCGTGACGTGTCGGTAGAGCGGACAGGGCGGTTCGCTGGAGACTTCCTCACCATTTAGGATCCTTCAGATGACATTTTGCGGATGAGGGAGGGTCGTTCTCAAAATGTGGCTCTCGCCTTAGCGCCGCGCATACGTGACTACGGATTGAGGGTGGTATTTCCTTTTTGTAACACAAGGAGCATGCCTATCGTCTTAGCGCCACGCACATTCGTCCTGAAAGTCTGCAAAAGCTTCAAGGACATATTACCTATGGTGATGCGCCGATTTTCCACCACCACGAATATAGTTAGGAGAAGGAGGAGGAGGAGGAGGAGGAGGAGGAGGAGGCGGAGCAGCAGGAGGAGGAGGAGAAGCAGGAGGGGACAGAAGGGGAGGAGGACCTCCCCGTCCTCCCTTCTCCCCTGGCCTACTTGTGGCAGTGGTGGTGGAAGACTTGCCCATCGTATGGTCTCTCCAGCTCGTGCTCAGACTCTCCATCTCCACTGGGTGCTGCCTCAGGCCAGGGCCCTAGCGGTCTGCAGGACGAGGACAGCGCAGCCCGGTACACCGGCTGCGGCGGCGGTGTGCAGGGCAGACAGGTCGAGACGCTCACACACACAAACACAGATACACACAGCGAGGCCT